CCTAAAAGTTCACCACATTCAAAATACCGTAAATTACAACATATACCATAACATTATACAAAACATAGCCCATAATATCTATCATTCTATCATATCTATCATGTGGACAAAATTATTATTTAATTATGTTGTTTGTATATACTTTCCTTGAGCAATATGCGTCAAGTAGTTGTACTCCTCAGTTCTTTTCATGGCTAAGCTAAATACTGCCAGTCTTCCTCCAGAAATAGGTCATTTGCTCACCACCATATAATGGATTTTACTGCAATTTAATTTTAGCGCTGTATTCTCTGCACTACAATGCAACAATATCTAAATGGTTCTGTAAGCAATTTATCACTATAAGCACTGTAAATTGTGTATGGGTTCCCCATTAACCATAATTCCATCTATCACGTCGTGTAGTGCTTCTTTGAAAATGTTTTCCGAGTATATATTGAACAGTAATGATGACAGAATGCACCGTTGGCGAACCCCGCGCTTTATTTCTACTTCTTGCGTGAAGTAACTCTAAAACCAAACTAAGTATCACTCATTTGTTCCTCGGGTTTCGGATAAATTCTATTATGTATAATTCGAAGGAATATCTTTAACACATGACTCATTAAGCTGACTGTTCTAAAATCTGTACATATTTTTGGTGTACCTTCCTTTGGAATCGTAATAAACACAGATTAGAGCCAATCGTTTGGTATCTGACGATTATCTATTATAAATTTTATTAAAAAATCTTGTTAAATTACGTACGCCATTATCTTTGAATAACTTTACCAATTCTGTTGGTATTTGGTCAGAACCCACCGTTTTTCCTATTTTTGCACCATCAATTACGTTTTGAAATTCATCCAAGGTTATTTGTGGATCTGAATCACCTCTTAGATCGGGTGTCACAGATGATCGGTTGCTCGCAAATAGAGTTTAGATATAACTTTTCCACATGTGATATGTTTCGTCTTTTTCTGTTATGTATTTACCTTCGTTATTCATATGTATGCTTCTCTTTCTTCTATTAGATGTCGTCATACTTCTAATTTTTTAATACCCCTCTATCTCCTCACTTTCATTTTTGCGAAAATCTTCTTTTGCTTTTCTAATAAAAACACGTATAGATCTGTGTATAACCTTCTATTTCCGAGTATCTTTATTTTTATACCGACCTTTTTCGACCTTTTTCATCTGTCATCCAAACTTATTTCCTTCTAGATCTGAACACGCCCACTTCATTGTTTGCTACTTCGATTATTGTGTTTTTAATTGTCATAGATATTTCCTCAATGAGCATGTCCACATGTTGCAAACTTGATAACCTGATTTCAATTTCATTTGCAGCTCGCATCCTCAAAGCTGGGCTTCTTAATTTCTGTACATTGAGTTTACTCCTCAGTTGAGCTGAGATCGTCGCTTTGAATTTAATGTTGCTTTTTAACAGCTAGCACGTTGTGATCAGATCGAACATTTGCACCGGAGAATGTTTTTGCGAATTTTATTGAGTTCTTATGTCTTCCAGCTATTGTTATAAAGTTAATTTGGTTACGAATGACCCTGTGTGCTGTATCGACTGGTGACTTCCAGGTATAGTCTTCGGTTTGGCAATTTAAAAAATGTATTGCAAATAATCTAATATATAATATATATTATAACACTAGATTAGTAATCTTTTTTATTTTTTGAGTTATTAACTATAATTATAATTTAATGACTAAGTGGGGAAGAATATTTTTAGAATAATTCAAATTAAGTCAAATATATTATTCTTTTTAAAAAAGGATAATAATTCTTAAATGAATTGTTGATTGGGTTGGAAAAAAATTATACAAAAGTTATAGATTAACTGAAACTGACAAGAACCTCTGACATTGTAATCAAAAGATTATAAAAACTTTATTATGCTGATATATTTTTGTTTTTTTGTTTTAAAACAAATATTTACTAAATATGTTGATATGATATGATCAACTTTAAAGTTGTCAACTTTAAAAAACCACTCTAAAAAACAACTTTAAAAAAATTAATAATAATTAATTTAGTTAAAACCAAGAAAACTAATAAAAAAAATAATTTCTAGCATGTGTTACCCCTTGTGACAATTTTGGCGGCGCCACTGGCTATTTATGTAACCAAATTATAGGTACAATGAACTGCAGTTATCATATTTTTATTTTTTTTTTCTTTGCACGAAATAAAATATTTAAATAAATTATTTATACATAATATTTTCTGTCATCAGCGGTTATTTTTTATATTATTCATTTATAACAAATAACATTTTTTACCCAAAAAAAAACCATCGCTTTGCATCGCTTTATAACGTATACACGGTTTTTTAGTCCACTTGATTTTAAAAAGGTTAGATTGAAGATTAGGAATTGCTTCTAGCGTCTTGTAAAAGTGATTGCAAGGCAAAGATGAGTGAAATTTGGAATAAGAATCACTATTTATTCTCTCTTGCCGATGCAAATTCACTGCCTCCAAGGCCAATGAAAAACACCTGCGTCAGTTTTACAAAAACAAACCATGGAACTATAGAATTATATCTTATACAATAATAACATATCACCTGTTTCGGTAAAATATTCTATTCAAAACCCTTGCAAAAATAAAGTGCAAGAATGAAATACCCTAAAGTCTATATAAGAGTGTTATTAATGGATCGCGGAACTAATCTTTGATCACTTTCGAACAATAAATTTCTTATCGCAAAGAATGCATTTTTACTGCTGGGCAGTGCCGGTTTTAGCGCTATCAGCGCCCCCTACCTACTATTTAAAACCATGTGAAAAAGCGAAAAAAACTAATTGTATGAAATGAGAACAGTAATGAAATTATAAAAATAATACTTTGTCATAAAAATACTTTTTATTTTACGTAAAACTAATACAATAAATTTAAAACAATAAGGCATAATGAACCTCATATTATGTATTTTTATATGCAATAAAAAATAATATTCATGTATACTGATATACTTTCTTAAAAATTTCAAATGTACATATATATATTTGATATATATATTCTTGAAAATACTAATAAAATATTACTTTTCTGGCCTTTCTATCGGCAAACTCTCTTTCTACTGCATTAAAGCCTATGTTTTGTGCAATTTCGTTTTCGATTGACAAAGTTGCCAAGTTTGTTAACATGGGTTGAGACATTGTCGATCACAGATAGTACCTTTTATAAACACAAAGTATTAAATAACTTTAGTTTAAGTGCGATTGGAAATGAAAAGACTTAATAGAAAACTATTTTTTACGTCGATCTGGCGCCCCTGGGCCGTCGCCCCATCTCACCCACCCCTAACGCCGGTACTGATGCTGGCATTATCTTGCAGAACACAACAGCCTTGTCTTCACGCAATTGCAATTCGATGATAAAATTGGAAAGCATGAGTAAAACAATATGTACACGGTATGTATACCGCGATTTACTTGGGAGAATAAAACGTATAAAAGCAACAATTTACTTATAAAGAATTTGTAGAGTGCTTTGAAGCTGCTTCGTTACACATCAGCAAAATGAATTATTTAACATCCGCCATGTTACTAGTTTTGGCCATCTCATCCTGCAGTGGCTACAGTTTTTTGATTCCTGCAAGTAAGTAAATATATTCACATGTGGAACTGTGTGTCACTAAAAAGAAATAAATATAAATATGGATAAATATGGAAATAAAATCGATCATATAAAAGTATCAAGTTTAATGTAAATTATTTAATTAATAGAAATTAGTCATCCTGGCATTTGTATATTTAATGGTTTATTTTTGCAAAGAGGCGATAATTCCTTACCTTCTTCTTGCCAAAATATGCGCTGCAACGAGGATGGTTCAATTCTCGTTCAAGGGTAACTAAACTTTCAATATTGAACAAAACGATTGTTATACATTTTCAATGTTTTTTTCAGTTGTGGTCATTTTGAAACGACGGATTGTCGTGTGGTTGATCCTATCAATTTACACAAACCATATCCAGATTGTTGCAAAATGAACTTTATGTGCACTGGGACCAGTGGACAAGTGGTCAATCTACAAGTCTCTCCACTAGAACGCCATTTGTATTGAACTGGTTTCTGATATGAATCATCAAAAATAAAATATTGTTTTAATTCTACTTAATTAAATTAAAATGTTGGTCGAAATCACGTTTAAAATAAAATATAACTTCGGCTTAACTGACATGTTCCGTTTTTTTTCGATTTCATGCACAGAATTTTGAGTACACAACACATCTAATATTGCATCCAAAATAACAATCACATCTTACAATTACATTTACCATATCCTTAATATTGACAATATAAATTATGTTTGTACGTAATAATCCTAACTGATCAACGCAAACTGATTTTAAAAGCTAAATATCTGTAAAGTTCAGAAAAATGTTTTCAGATCTGTTCTGCAAACCAATTAAGATCGGAATCGAATCTAACCATCCAAACCTTAATGCTTGAAATCCAATATTTACGAATCCAAGTTTTGCACTAATTCTGATTAAAGGGGCTCCGACTTCCAAACAATCGGAATTGTTGTCGATTTATATCCAAGCAGTCGTAAGGCAAACAAATTGCAGAAATGGAACAAATTAGTTAAACACGTGCGGGTAGATAAAGAAGAACGAGTAAAATAATAATAAAGAAGTTAATAAATAAAATAAATAAGAACTTAAAATTAAAATGTAAGTGTATATTACACTCTCTCTGAAAGGTAATTTAAAATTGAATTTATTAAAATGCAGAGAAAACTAAAACAGCGAAGCAGAAACTAATCTAAAAGAACCTACTAAAAAAAAACTGACTGAAACCCTATATCAACTCTAAATTGAGAAATTACGGCTAGAATTGTGTGAGCTTGGTATGGCTTCCAACATCGCAAATTAATAAAATCGGCGAATATAGACAACTGGTACTCATCTGAATGGTTTCGTCCAAAGATTAAACAATTTTTCTACAATGTTAGAGGGCCGGAACGCACAATACTAAAACAATGACTAAAGCTAATTAGATTTATAAAATCAGAACTAACGAGAGCAATCATATTTTTATATTATTTACTGATATATTTTTTATTTCTTATATACTTCTATATGGATGTGTAGCGTTTAGCAAAGTCTCAAACACTACTATTCGCCAGCTAGAAATTGCACAAAGACAGGCTCTGAGAAGAATTTTCAAAGTACCATGGTACATTACGACGAATGACATCCTCACGGACCTCAACATTGATCCAATCAAAAAATACATAAAGGATAGAGCCCTGAAATTATTTGCGAAAACTGACTGACTTACCAATACCGCGTTATGAAATCTCAGAATGGTTACAGGCTCCTCGAGTAGGTATGCAGATCTGAGGTCAATTATTGCTTAATCTGGTGAAATGATAAACAATAATCCAGTCAATGCGTAAAGAGGGGTTTTGAAAATAGAGTAAAAATGCTCAAGTGCACTGGCTCAAATACCTTCAACATAAAAAACAGCCGATACAGAATTTAACTTGGAACGGGATAAAACTATTGCAAATCCGTTAAAAATAAGGAACACCAAATTCAATCGAAATTGGATTGCAGAACAGGTGTTTTTATATTTTTCCGATCAAATACAAATTGTAAAAAAACTATATAAATCAAATAAATATTTTAAGAATTATTAAATAAGCATATTAAAGTTTTTATTTTTATATATAAGCATTGCGTACATACTTCAATTATTTCAATGCTCGTAATTTTGTAAATACATCGTTAGATAACAAATATGGACATTTGAATTACATTTCATAAATATTTTTAATATTCGTTTACATGAGAAATTGTTTTGATGAAGAATTTGAAAAGACATTCGGCCTTTTTTACAATCAAGACAAAATAAACTTTTTTATATAAGTTATTCAGACCGAAGGCGATAAAGTAGCTTATCAATAAAAATAAATAAATTTAAATAAAGACAGAAGTAGATAAAAACAACAAGAATCGTCAAATAGCGACGATTCCGACTATAAATGTCAATCCCGATGCTTCGCATAATTGTGTTCTTATTAACCTCGTTACTGAAATATAGAATAGCGTGAAATGATTAAACATTTGTGTTTTTATTTTTTAATTAGTCAAGACCCACGCAATAACTTGTTATAAAATTATAAAGACTTTGATATTTATAAACTCTTATTTCTAGAAGAAAACATTCGCAAGCCAGAGATTTGCTTTATTTTACTCTTAAAAAACTGATTTTTTAAGTTAATAAGTGGCATAGGTTTTTAAACATTTATAACAAATATAGTACTTTTGATGTGTACACTTATATTTGTGAACTCAGTAGTTTTCAAATATTCCTTCGAGCAGATAGTTAATCTTATTTAAATATTGTGTATGTGCTGAGCATGCTATAATTTATTAATTGATTGTGTACGTATTTTATAGATATATCGATTTTAATTTTATTGTTGGTAAATTGTTTCAAATTAAATTAAAGAAAAATATCTAATAACAAGAAAGAAGAATTTTAACAATAATTGCGAAAAAAATATATAGAAAAGAAAAAAAATAACACTTAACTCAAATAACTCAAAGCCATATTAAATGCAATAAAAATTAATTTATAATAAATCCATAAAACTATATGTACAAATAATGCATGGCCACTTAAGTGTTTACGAATCTTTCAAATATTACATATGAAATTATTAGAAAATATGAATATTAAAGCTCTCTTTAACTTTTACATTTTAATGCAGGTATTAGGTATAAGCACAAAACTTTTATACGTATATTATAAACACATATGAATATACATATACATATACATATACATATACATATACATATACATATACATATACATATACATATACATATACATATACATATACATATACACATACATATACATATACATATACATATACATATACATATACATATACATATACATATACATATACATATACATATACATATACCATATATATACCATACATATACATATATATATACCATATATATACCATACATATACATATATATATACCATATATATACCATACATATACATATATATATACCATATATATACCATACATATACATATATATATACCATATATATACCATACATATACATATATATATACCATATATATACCATACATATACATATATATATACCATATATATACCATACATATACATATATACATATACATATACATATACATATACATATACATATACATATACATATACATATACATATACATATACATATACATATATACGTGTATATCATTCAATATTATAAGAAATGTACATTTTAAATATTATTAACACACTTTCCTATAATTGAATGCGTAAAGCAAAACGGATTACAAAATTAATGAACTACATACTATATATATCGCGGTTATACAAAATAGATTATTTTTCTCTTTTAATTTTCCAAATGAAACTTTAAATTTTGAATAATTTGAACGTTTTTACGCAAATGAGTGTAAGCAAAATAGAAATGGGCAGCTCTTAATTTTTTTTTGCACCAAACGCGTAAAAAAAATTATTTATGCTAAATTATTTTGGATCAAAAATATTAATATTGCTGTTTGCTTTCACATTTTTTATAAAATTTTTTTGCATGAAATGAAGTAAATTTTAATATTAATTTTTATTAATTTTTTTAATTTTTTTTAATTTTTTTAATTGCTCTTATAAAAAAATCTATAAGCAATTTGAGATTAATTATATATGTCTATATTAATTCACAATAAATATTTTGTTTTTATATAAGCTTTGTATGTTAAATATTTTTGAATTAGTATATTTTTTAGGTAATCCTTTTTCAACATTTATTCTAATTGCTTGTGCTTAAAATTAAAAAAAATATATTTTGTTATACATGTTTTTATTGGACTAAAACTAAATACAATACTTTTTCCTTGTATTTCACTTAAGAATTGAAATTAGCTTCTAGTTGTTTAGCCCATGCTTGTTTATGTTGGACATAGAATTTTCAATATGTAGTCCGTAAGTAGTGTCGGCACTGTGGGGCTGTCTTCATTTATTGCTTTAAGTACTGAAACAAAAACAAAACATAAATTAGCATAATAATTGTATGATGCAAAAAGAACTTATTTTATACATTATTATTACATTTGAAGGAAACCCCATAAGTCATACGCCATATTCGGTTGAGCTAAATTTGGTAATCATTGGTTAAAGGTTACAATTTGGCACAAAATATGATAGCACGCAATCATTTTTCAATCGCTAGTTTACCCCACTATTGAAACAGTGTTTTACAATCGGATAGAAGAATGGAATTTTTGGATAGTGTCAAGGAATGGTGTCCTGAATCAATTCAACAGACTAAAGAATGTTGTCAAACCGTCTCTTCGATTCAGAAGCAATTTTATATGGTGCATAAAAGATTTTGTTGTTAAAATAATAATTTACTATTTGTTTAATTGTTACTTTATCTTTAGTTTTTGTTAAATTTCTGTAATAATTCTTAAGTAATTCTTAAGTTACTTTTTAATTAGCTGAGACAATCCTCTATTACCGTTTAAAATTGGTAGTTTTACAGAACTGGCATTTAAAGATCTAAGAAAAGTTTCCGACTTAACTTTTTTTCGGTACACAATCCCAACCAGCAGTAACAATCGTCAAATGATAATGCTCGCTAAAGAACAATAACCTAATAACTCGTTTTATTTTTGTTAACGCGAGTATTGTCGTGTATCAGTAACTGTCTACTTTTGTTATTAATACTTGTTTTGAAACAAATTTTACTAAGAATAGAACATTTTTTAACATACTTTATGCCGCCATATCAATCTTCAGTATGGTGTATAAAACTCAAGTTTCTGATAAAGAAATTTATGCAGGTATAAAAAATTAAAACAAAAACATCGCGCAGTAATTAAAGCATAATCGCGATATTATTAAAAACAATCGTGGAATCATTGCGAAATCATCGCGGAGCTAAGTATTAAAATATGTTATTAATATAATACACATATAGTGTACATATAGACTTTTGTTTTTATTTAAAAGCATGGAATTCTCATCTCCGTATTGAGTTAAATTTCACTGTATTGTGATTATATTTTAATTATATTTTAATTATAAAATATAAAATTCAAAATAAAGTAATAAAGTAATAAAGTAGTCTTGATTCAAGAAAATTTTTTTTTTATTCATACAACTGCCAAGATTTAGCATTTAGTATACATTTTTACGTAATGGAAATTCAAATAATAATTCAAAAACAAGATTAAGAATTACATGAGTGAACTATTAATAATGGATAAAAAAAAAAGAAAACTTAAAATTAAATAGTATAAGATAATTAATAGAAGGGTTTTCGAATAACAAAGAAAGAAATAAAGGACAAACACAAAAATTTATTTTTAATTTTATTGAAATTTGGCTGACCATACAACGCTGTTTCGAGTATTGCCAAGTACTCTTCATCAGTGGTCTTTGGGAATAATCGAATTTTATTTAATTAGTTTATAGTCCGTATACAATTTGTTTGGACTGCAAGTGCCAGGCTTAGAACTCGTGCCTGTCAAATTAGAAGCGATGACTAATCGTGTTTATCCACAAGAAGCCAAGGCTGCACAAACTTTCAATGCTCAAGTTCCAGGTTTTATTGTCACTTATTTTTATTTAATTAGTGACAACAACCAACGCACTTGCCGTGCTTTTTAAATAAGAACGAGCTTATAAACTTCAGCTTTATTTTTAGAAACACAAGTTCAGCGAATTGAAAGTTTAACTTTTGGGTTTTGCCTATTTCTTTATTTCTTTTCAAAGCTACTCTTTTTGTAGAGACATTTTGTAATGCATATTGTTTTACTTACTATATGTAAAGCGACCATTTTGGTGCTTTTTACAAAGAAGCTATGCTATGTTATTCTACAAATCCGCTTTCGCGGTTAGGAAAAGTTGAACAATATTATATTTTAACATATTGTTCTTTACTTTTCACAAGCCTAATATTTGAATAAAGTATTAGTGTTGCTATAAAGCTACGCTTTCTTTGTATGGTGACAAAGAAGCTTTATTAAAATTTAGAGAGTTTTCGAATAACAAAGAAAGAAATAAAGGACAAACACAAAAATTTATTTTTAATTTTATTGAAGTTTGGCTGACCACACAACGCTGTTTCGAGTATTGCCAAGTACTCTTCATCAGTGGTCTTTGGGAATAATCGAATATTATTTAATTAGTTTATAGTCCGTATACAATTTGTTTGGACTGCAAGTGCCAGGCTTAGAACTCGTGCCTGTCAAATTAGAAGCGATGACTAATCGTGTTTATCCACAAGAAGCCAAGGCTGCACAAACTTTCAATGCTCAAGTTCCAGGTTTTATTGTCACTTATTTTTATTTAATTAGTGACAACAACCAACGCACTTGCCGTGCTTTTTAAATTAGAACGAGCTTATAAACTACAGCTTTATTTTTGGAAACACAAGTTCAACGAATTGAAAGTTTAACTTTTGGGTTTTGCCTATTTCTTTATTTCTTTTCAAAGCTACTCTTTTTGTAGAGACATTTTGTAATGCATATTGTTTTACTTACTATATGTAAAGCGACCATTCTGGTGCTTTTTACAAAGAAGCTATGCTATGTTATTCTACAAATCCGCTTTCGCGGTTAGGAAAAGTTGAACAATATTATATTTTAACATATTGTTCTTTACTTTTCACAAGCCTAATATTTGAATAAAGTATTAGTGTTGCTATAAAGCTACGCTTTCTTTGTATGGTGACAAAGAAGCTTTATTAAAATTTAGAGAGTTTTCGAATAACAAAGAAAGAAATAAAGGACAAACACAAAAATTTAATTTTTAATTTTTATTGAAATTTGGCTGACCATACAACGCTGTTTTCGAGTATTGCCAAGTACTCTTCATCAGTGGTCTTTGGGAATAATCGAATTTTATTTAATTAGTTTATAGTCCGTATATAATTTGTTTGGACTGCAAGTGCCAGGCTTAGAACTCGTGCCTGTCAAATTAGAAGCGATGACTAATCGTGTTTATCCACAAGAAGCCAAGGCTGCACAAACTTTCAATGCTCAAGTTCCAGGTTTTATTGTCACTTATTTTTATTTAATTAGTGACAACAACCAAAGCACTTGCCGTGCTTTTAAATTAGAACGAGCTTATAAACTACAGCTTTATTTTGGAAACACAAGTTCAACGAATTGAAAGTTTAACTTTTTGGGTTTGCCTATTTCTTTATTTCTTTTCAAAGCTACTCTTTTTGTAGAGACATTTTGTAATGCATATTGTTTTACTTACTATATGTAAAGCGACCATTCTGGTGCTTTTTACAAAGAAGCTATGCTATGTTATTCTACAAATCCGCTTTTTGCGGTTAGGAAAAGCTGAACAATATTATATTTTAACATATTGTTCTTTACTTTTCACAAGTCTAATATTTGAATAAAGTATTAGTGTTGCTGTTAAGCTAGACTTACTTTGTATAGGGACAAAGAAGCTTTATTAAATTTTTAGATAATTAAATTAATAGATAGATGATAGAATAAATGAGTCAATTAAATAGAATAGGAATTTACTATGAATATATTAGATAAATAGTTATGGGTTATTATAATATTAATAGTTCTGATGGATATAGGCGTTTCAATTGTCTATTATGTGTGGTTTCGTCATTGGGTAGCTGCCTCATTGTTGTGTTAGGATGGAAAGTAATCTGTCTGTGTGATTTTTACTATTTTTACGGATAACGTCTACAACGAAGAGTATCTTTAAATCGCGATGACTGTCATAGTGTAAGATGTACCAGTCAGCGTTTATGATAGTCCTAAGTATTTTTGATTGTAGTCTTTGCAGTATTTGCATGTTTGCATGCCTAATATTTCGGCTCCAAATTTCCATATTGGAGCGATTACCGTTTTATATACTAGTAGTTTATTTTGTACTGTTAGTTTTGATTTCGAGCAGAGTAACCAGTACAATTGTCCAAAGCGACGGTTAATTTCATTGCTTTTAGCTTTGATATGGTCTTTCCAAGTTAATCTGCTATCTATAGTAATAGCAAGATAATTTGCCTTTGTGTGTGTGAAAACTTCATCATTGTTAATTTTTATATGTTTTAGGTCATATTTTTTATTCGTGTAGATAACATGAACTGTTTTGCTTGTATTTATTTGAACTCTCCATTTGTCGAACCATTCAAGCGTTTAAGTAATTCTGCAAGTTATCTGTGGATTTGTTAAAATTTATATTAGCGGCAATTAGTGCTGTATCGTTTGCAAAAGTTGCTATCAAACTTTGAATATCAGAATGTATCGGGATATCAGCAGTGTATAGCAGGTAGAGTAATGGACCTAGTACGCTTCTTTGAGGTACACCAGCTTTCATTTGTTTAAGTTCGGAGATTGAGTCTTTGTACTGTAGATACATAAAAGTATCTATTTTGTAGATAGCTTTTAAGTATGAGGTAAAAGTTTGTTGGAAGAAGCTGGGATAGTTTAGTTAGAAGACCTCCATGTCAAACGCTATCGAAAGCCTTTGCGACATCAAGATATACCACCGAGGAAAATTGTTTTGTGTCAATATCACTTGTTATTTTATCAAAAACTCTGTGAACTTGTTGTATAGTCGAATACTTTTTCCGAAAGCCGAATTGATGATCAGGTATAAGTTTTTCTTTGTGGATAATCGGTTCTAGTCTTGCTGATATTATTTTTTGAAACAATTCAAGAAAAAAAATTGAAAAAAAGATTTTACTAGGACTAGTTAATAAAAACTCCAATTTTTGCTCTAGTCCCCTCCAGAGCAATATATGTTTTCTGTAGGTAGTGACGTTTAAGCTTTGAAAGACAACATTCAATGCTTGCTACCGATGAAGCAGAAGTCAGTTAGGATTTATCAAGGTAAGCTTTGGTCTGAACGGTATATTTTTCTATTAAAAAGCAATACTAATTAATATACGAAATTGCTTTGAATCCATTCTTTTAAAAATAGAGCAGCGTCATTAAAACCACTGTTATTTATGAACTAAATGGCAAATTAGAATAAAATTCTAAATGTGATTCTATGAAGATAAGTTCATATGGTTAATTAGATAGAGGCGGTATATAATTACTGTTTATACTTAAATCCTGCAGACACACTTGACATTTTCTTACTACGAATTGTACTACGAAGAATACATTTAATTGAACTATACTTATACAGTTCACATGTGCCGCATTTGTTGAGCCGAGCGTAGGGTATATAAACAATTTTTTAAAAATAGATGAAACAGGTATCATAGATTAAATATTGCTAAAATAATGTTCAAAAAACGATTTCCTCGTAAACAAAATTTGAAAAACCCAGTAAACCGTATAAGTTTTTCTTACATTTGTAATAATAGTATCCCAGATTGTGTTTATTTAATTTTAGTATTTTTAAAAGTTGCAATCCTGCATTTTTAAAATATGGAGTTATTTTCTTAATCGAATAAAATAAATTTGTAGAGTAACATAGCATAGCTTCTTTGTAAAAAGCACCAGAATGGTCGCTTTACATATAGTAAGTAAAACAATATGCATTACAAAATGTCTCTACAAAAAGAGTAGCTCTGAAAAGAAATAAAGAATAGGCGAACCCAAAAGTTAACTTTCAATTCGTTAAACTTGTGTTTCCAAAATAAAGCTGTAGTTTATAAGCTCGTTCTAGTTTAAAGCACGGCAAGTGTTTTGGTTGTTGTCACTAATTAAATAAAAATAAGTGACAATAAAACCTGGAACTTGAGCATTGAAAGTTTGTGCAGCCTTGGCTTCTTGTGGATAAACACGATTAATCATCGCTTCTAATTTGACAGGCACGAGTTGTAAGTCTGGCACTTGCAGTCCAAACAAATTATATACGGACTATGAACTAATTAAATAAAAATTTGATTATTTCCGAAGACTACTGCTGATGAGTACTTGGCAATACTCGAAACAGCGTTGTATGGTCAGCTAAACTTCAATAAAATTAAATAAATTTTTGTGATTGTCCTTTTTTTCTTTCTTTGCTATTTGAAAACCCTCTAAAATTTAAATATAGCTTCTTTGCCACTATAAAGAAAGCGTACCTTTATCAACAACAATGCATACTGTTAGTGTTAGTGAAAGCGCTAATCTCGTCATTCGAGAGTGTATTATATTTTGGGAAAAAGCTAGAACCCCTACCAGAGCTATACCTAACTGTGTAAAAAAACTTGTGGATCCTCACCATGCTTGGAGGGAGTTGCAAAAAAATTTTAAATAAATACAAGATATTTACAAGCGCCGTGAGGACGACTTTAAGAATAATTTAGATAATTTGATATAGCACACGCTGATGCTTTGGAACGGCTGAAGAAGAAGATAAGACATTTTTAACGGGTGTAGACAAAAAATTAAAAAGGAAATTAAATTAGGAGAAAAAAGATGTGAGCAAATGTGTTTCGGAGGTTTATCGTCATCTGTTACTACGCAAGATTCTATTCAAATGCAAGGACATCACGATCAACTTATCAGCCCTGATAATGCAATCCTTGAGGAACCCTTGGCATCCACCTCTCAAATGGTAAATTCTGAAACTACTACAAAAAAAAGAAGGAAAAATTTTATGACGCCTAAGTTTGTTGCAGCGCTAGGTAGATGTCAATTAAGCATAAGGATTCTGTCTATATACTTCAGGTTGTAGTAGAAGCACTAGACCTAAGCTGTGATGATTTTCCGATAAACAAATCGTCTATTCAACGTATTCGTACACAGACTCGAAAAGATAGAGCGGAAACTATAAAATCAGATTTTCAGAATAATATGCCTGAAATGGTGACCTTTCACTTTTCACTTTGATGGGAAATATTTTAAAATGTGTGTTCAAAACAAAAATCCACCAAGTCACAAGTAGCCCCGATATCACACTGTTCAAAAAGTTTAAAGACAACTGGAAAACTATTAATTCTGCTGCCATTGAAACATATACTGATATCGTCACACGACATTTTTGTGATACAACGAAAGAAGATTTGTTGACATTTTTTAATCAAAAACCGCAAAAAACCGATGGACGTGACGATTATCGGGAACTGATTGAACTATCTATTATTTTTTAGGGAGGAAGCAGTGAAAAAAAAAAAATTAGACCTCCTGAAGCGATGCATCAAGCAAAGTGGATGGCTAGAGCTATTTACTCTTTAAAGATATGTTTGTTGCAATCCCAGTTTAAAATTAGTGCCAAGGATAAGCGAAAAAAGTCTGTTTATTTATTTCGGTTTTATATGTAAAACCATGGCTTCGATATAGTCTGGCGGTAGAGGCACCAAATCAAGATTTGTGCTTTTTAAAGAGGCTTAAGGAATATGAAACTGTTGACAAATTGATCTCCAAAACAGCCCTGAGCAAATTTAGACAACATCTTTGGTATTTGTCAGAAGAAATTGCCATTTTATAACTCTTTGATGCTGATGAATAAATAGTAATATTTTTAATACTGTTTTCAATATTGTTAATAATACTGCCTTATTTATTGTTGCAGGAAAATCATTAAGTGATTTTGTGTCTGTCAAGAGCACAAATTTATTTTCTCGATTAAAAATTGAAGATGTTACCTATTCGGAGGCGAAAAGGAAAGTGCTTCCCTTAAGGGCTGAAAGAGCTGTAAAACTTATGCAAGATTTTCATGGTTTGATCACTGCAAAGGAATTTTTGCTATGCTGTGTACAGGAGCACAGAAATCTGTATCTAAAATGTAAAAAAGGGACCCTCAAAAGAAATCATCCTGCCTGCTATGAAATTTTATCTTCTTTTAATAAATATTTCATAAACATTTTAATATTTCAATTAATTTAAGTATATCTATAACGGAAAGGGTTAAAAACAGCAATTTTCAAAATCTTCAGAGTTCTGTGGGCATGGGTTAACGTTGACGTAGGAAGATGAAATTTTGTATTTAAGTAAGTCTGGGTAGTTAAAAAAGAAATATATAAGGGGCACCCTAATATTCACATTGTTACTGACTGAGAAATTATTACAACTTCTTATTTTATTCTTTTTATTTTTTAAATAATCTTCAAATTTTCATATTTACTTAAATCAAATAACATGTTTTACTCACTTTTTATTAAAACTTGCAATGATTGGTTGTTTGGTGTACCATTCTCCAAATGATATGGTATGACAGTTGTAAGATATTTCGGATCCGGTCCTAACAAAAGGCACATGAATAAATTGAAATAAATGGAATGAATAAAGAGATATTATTAATATTTAAACCTTGAAATTTTCCACGTTTCTTCTCTACGTGATATTGCCTTCGTTTATTTTGAACTGCCAAAAGCAACGAAATGAATGAATTCTTAAGTTCTTTTTCAAATTCAAGTTCATCACGCAAAGCTAATTCATTAATCAATGTTTCACTTAATTCCTGTATGAGAACTTCCATTTCCATGTACAACTCGTTCAGTTGTGTCGTATTTAAATACTGAAGTTCTAAAATAAATAGAAATACATTTTTTTTCTGATAGTGCGAATATCTTATCAGTACTTACTCTCAGCATAGAGTGGCGCACCTAAAACTTCTTTTGCTTTTTCTATCACCTCAGATTCACATCTCTCCGCTTGCTCTTCTGTACTATCAGCTTCATCCATAATATCATCAATTTCCTTTATTACTTCCTCTACAGATTTAATTGGCTCATCATGATCAGAATTTAAGCCATTAAGTATTAATGCATGCATATCAAGATCATTGGCAATAGCTTCATCCTCACTAGTGAGATCATCCCCAGGCGTTTGTACATCCAAACTGCCTTCCTGATGTTTCTGTCCCAAGTTTAATGTGGGCATATGCATTTGACGTGCAAATGATTTGGACCAATCTATTGGTAAAATATTCCCGAAATTTCCAGTAATAGTCCACCACATTCTATAAACATAACACATTTATATTTACCAAATAATCCAATAAATAAAGTTAACTTTAGACCTATTAATAATATTCGTCCGATTGCATTTCGAACAAAATAACTGAAAACAAACAAGCCATTCACAATTTATTATCATTTATTTCTCAGTCTAAAGAAATCTGTAACACAAAATATAATGCATTGAGTTTACTGAAATTGGTTCCCATAAGAGCAGAGTCTCTGATATAAACATACTAGAACTTGAGAGAGAAACAGATCATACTTTCTCTGAAGTCGTGAAAAGTATTTCTTAAAAATCGTTAAGATTTTCCGCTAAATTTCGGACAAGATGCTGCACGTTTGGGATTATGTCGACTATCGGTAATCATATCACTTAAGAAACAACCTATCATAAAACTTAAACAAAGACGGAACACGAATAAGATGGAAACACGAATAAGATGAGTACATATGATTTGATGATTTCCCAATTGCAGGAGGAGTGATAAATGTCGCAGATGAGCATAAATAAATTTCAATCCCATAAAGAAATTGGGTAAGTCGTTTATCCATCCAAAAATATTCACAGGCATGCTTGGTTTATGTCTGGTAAAAGAGATGCTACTAATGGCAAAAGCTAAATAATTAAATAAAGAAAATGCGATAACTGCGATTTTGATCACTAGACATTTGTGTTTTTAGGTAACAAATTTCAAACGTGAAATCTACAAATGATTACATATAATAGAAAGAAATAGAATATCGATGTATGTAAATACTCAGTAATACACGAAATATATGAAGCGTGTATATAAATTAGTAATCTGTACCTAAACAGTAAACAATATTTTTATTTAAAAGTTCAAATTCCGTACTAACTCAGAAGAATTTTTGGTCCAGGATCGATATTATAAAAGTCAATAAACAAATATTTCAATGTTTTCATCTAATTCAAGATGAATACGATTATGTTGATTTTGTTAAGTCGTGGTCATGTCTGCACAATGAGAGATACCTAAAGATATATGAAAGACTCATATCTCAAAATCCTGAAACCTATTTACATATAAGATTACCGGTAGTAGCCCGATAATTGTTTGGAAGAAAATGGTAGAGCATGCAAGGGTTCATAAAAAGGTGTTAGATAATGAACAATTACATTTAATTTATTTTTTAAAACAATAGGAGTTTGCTATCAAATTATTATAACTTGAAGTTTGATTTTAAACATTAAAAGAGAAATGGTCATGCAATTCAAAACCGAGATCGTGGAAATTGGTTTTAAAAATAGAAATCTTCTTGTATGTCATCTGAAATCATAAAAATTTAAAAAGGAAATCCCTTCAATAAATAATAACAGAATGTTCTCGTCTCAGGAAACTCTAAACAAATCTTCAATGACTTCACAACTTTCGCCAATCGCGCCTTACATGAAGTTTAAATACAAATAAAGTCATTATCGTTTCTCTTAAATAATTCCATTTTTTATCAATCAGATATTTAGTTAGAGGAAAATGTCATGGCATGGCGCAATGAGACATAGACATACCCCTTTTCTCGATTACACACCAAATAAAAAAGAAACTTAAAACATAACAAATAAGAGATCGTAAGGACTATATTAGGTGTAGTAAAAAGAAATCCATTATTTTCCAAATAGATGGCTTTAGTTATCTGTATTCCGCGTTGTATAAGTCCGGTCGGGTTAAGCTAGATGTGTTTAGAAAGATTACATTTCGTACCAAAATAACTTCTGACAATTTGATTTCGTCGATTCCGTTCCGGTAAATCAAAACTAAAACAACAAAATTCAAATTCGAATTTTATACACAATTTGAATTAACACAACACATCGGCGAAGTTCTCCGATAAACGGTAATTAACGGAATAAACGGACATTCACTAAATTGGTGAAAATGGCCTAAATGGCTATATTATACAGAAGACACTAAAATAAAAGATCAACGTACAAACAAACATTTAAGTAAATCAACAACTGATATAAATATAAGAGAAACAGCTAATGAAATTGATATAGCAAATAAAATCAAATTAATTAATAAATAAAACAAAAACTTAAGTAAAAAATTTTTAAACAGTCAAAAAGATATAATTTCAAAGGAAACTAACTTGTCCACAAACACCAGCCACACTAGTGCCAAAAATAATGAAGCTTTAAATAAAAAAAAGACAGAATTAGAAACTTTATGAGGCAAACTTCACCAAGAAATAATTCAATTCAACTATCGAGAAGTAACTCGAACTTTAAATGAAGCACATTACTCATGGCACTCATACGAACATTAACAGTTCAGACCAATAAGAGTTGCAGCAAAAAACCTGCATCACTCATGCGATCCTAAAGATATTGTAGGCAACCTCGCTGAAAAGGGTTTTAAGGGTTTTAAAATTGTCAACGCACTTAACAAACTACAATTTAAAACCAAGAAACCACTGGATATGTTCATCTTAACCTTTGAGTCAATTGAAGATATGAACAAAATTCATAAAATCAAAGAAATCCTTATCACAATAGTATCAATAGAAGCAATGATACCTTCAAAACTTATCCCGCAGTGCATCAAATGTCAATCCTTCCTCCATACCAAAAACTACTGTCAGAAGCAGCTTAGATGTGTGAAATGTGCAGGTAATCATGAAACTATAAATTGTGAAAAACCTGATGATATTCGCCCAAACTGTTGCAACTGTGGCGACCAACACCCAGCGTCATATCGCAGTTGTGAAGTAGCACAAAAGCTTCCAAAACTAAGAGACCAAAAAACAAATAAAGTTCCAGTCCCAGTTCAGACAAATAATATCAAAAGGCAAGCCGAAGAATCGCTATTAAGCCAACAGCCACCGTAGCCCAAAAAATAAATATTCCTGATGAATCGCAAAATGTCCTCTCAGTTATTCTTGAAAAATTAACGGCAGTGGAAAATCGCCTAGACAATCTAGAAGAAAAACATTACTGTGCATCTGAATGATTGCTCTCAAAATAAGGGAATGGAATGCAAATGGTTTGATTCAACACAAAAACGAATTAGAATTACTTTTACAGACAGAAAATATAGACATTAGGGTGCCATTAAGGTATATGGGCAATGTATTAAAAATATTTTTATTTAGAAAAGTGTTCAAATTATCTACAGAAGAAGGAAATGCTCTTTGCATTATATGTATATTTATTACTAAAGTGTATGTTGAAGTATGGTTTAATGCTTTGCCATCAGTCAAAGCTCATTTTCAAGATTTTAATCTTCTTTCTATTCTCAGTCAATATCAAAAAATTGTATTTGGTATTTAAGCTCAAAGCTTGTTCATTTTGCTTTTTTGGATTTAAATATATCACCTGAGACAAAGAAAAAGATCGTTTCAAATTTGAATATAGATAGTGATGACAAGGAAGTCAGGAGAGTATCAATAGATCGCGCAAAAATAACTGAAGGTAATAAGGATACTTTGCTCCAGCAACGTTAACTAAAATAATAAAAATTATGTCGGACAAACCTAGAATTAGTACTTTTTTATTATTTGAAAGATAAAATTTTGGAAATATTGAATTTATTTTAAATTTTTTACAAATATTAAATTTTTTGTAAAGCTGAAGCGGACAATTACATTCATAGTACTTTCAAAGCTAGCAATCGGGTGATTTCAGCTAATTTTTTCTTTTATTCAATAAATATTAGAAATACAGAAAAACTTTGTATGAGTGAATTGTTTATTTTAAGTAGATCTATAACTTTTGGGAAGACAGTTTTTATGTAAAATTAAATATGTCGGAGATATAAGCAATCAAAGATGAATTTTATGGAAAAAATCGTTATTTTCCAATCTTTGAAGCTCTTGGGGCACCATTTCCACTTATCCAATTGAACTAAAATTTCACACAGATTTTTTTTTTAGTAAAATGAACCGATCTGGGGGTTGCCGCGGGCAATTTTCCGACTTTCGAAAATTAATGGCACCCTAATAGACATATACCAAATAAGCGAAACTCATTTTACAAGAGAATCGAACATCAAATTTAAAAACTATAACACTTATCATACTATTCATCCAAGCCATAATGCCAGAGGCGGAAGTGCCGTTATAATTAAATCCAATATTAAGCATTATCAAGAAAATAAACTCTCTAATGAAGAGTTCCAGGCAACAACCGTTGCAGTTGAAGAGAGTGGTTCCAAAATCGTAATAACGTCTATTTATATTCCACCGACTCGGGCGAAGCTGTAAACCTTAGAGGGCCCAGTAATGAGTGGTAGGAGGGAAATGAAATACCTCCCACGGACCAAACAGCTAGGAGATTGTGAACTTGGAGATGTGATGGTTATGGGTGACTTTAATTCCAAGATAGATTAAGGTAAGGACGATGTTATTTTTAGAAAATTTGCATTAGGCGAAAGAAACAAAAGGGGTGATTGTTTGGCTGAATTCTGCAGAAGTAATAAGTTGATTATTTCCAATACATTCTAAAAACTGCCAAAACGAAGACTTTATACCTGGAAGTCACCAGCCGATACAGAAAACAGGGTCATTCGCAACCAAATTGACTTTAAAACAATACCTGGAAGGCATAAGAACTCAATAAAATTCGCAAAAACCTTCCCCGGTGCGAATGTTTCATCTGATCACAACTTGCTAACTGTTAAAATCAACATTAAGTTCAAAGTGACAAGCTCAGCTCAACCGAGGAGTAAACTCAATGCACAGAAATTGAAAAGCCAAGATTTGAGGATGCAAGTTGAAAATGAAATTGAAACGAGGTTATTAAGTTTACAACCCAATGACATGTCCATTTTAGAAATATCTATGACAATTAAAAGCTCAATAATGGAAGTAGCAAACAATGAATTGGGAGTGTTCAGATCTAGAAGGAAAGAAATTTGGATGACAGATGAAATCCTGGCATTAATGGACAAAAGAAGTCAGTATAAAAATAAAGATACTCACAAATATAAGGATATACACAGATCTATACGTGATCTTTTTAGAACAGCAAAAGAGTTTCGCAAAAATGAAAGTGAGGAGATA